AACATATTTTGTATGTGAGTGTGCTTGAGAGTAGCGGTTTCAAAGCTTAGGCTGAAATACTAGTTAGTATTATATTAATATTGTATGTGTTTATATATAGGTAAAGTGGATTATATATCAATGAACTCCAAGTCTGAAATAATAAAATTTATACTTGTACATATAATCGTACATATGTATGTATATATTCATGAAAAAGTTCAACACACTTGCGAGGCGAACTAGCCGCAGACTTTAGTGTTATTTTAAGATTTCATATATTGTAAAAATTTTTCTTTTATACTTTGTTACCTATTTTAATATTTTGATTATTACAAACTGTGTAAATATTTACCTCCACGGTGGCTGTTTTGTGATTTTCTTATCTTTTTTTCTTTAAAAAAAATTTATTTTCTCCAAAACATCTGTTTACACACACACACGTTGACACGATTGTTTATCGATTTACAAGCACTATAAATTATAAAGACAAGTAAATGTTTGTTGTTAGCTCTTGCGATTAAAAGTTGCCTTCATCAACAGATTTCAAAACACTTCATTAACTGCACACCTCTACTAACATATGGTACTTCCAGCGCCTAATAGACAGATACTGAGTAATAGGAAAAAGACTAGAATGTGCTTTGATAACTGTGTTTGAGTCAAAATTACGATTTCGCAAATTCATGGAGATCTAGCTTTCTTATTCCACATTTAATATGGGATCTTTCAGATTTTTAAAGCTAAACAACAGAGCTTGAATATTTTGTAAAAATAATGGTTCGATTTAGGAGCTTAAAAGAAGGAATTATTATTTTAGCAGCAGAAATTTCAAAGCACCGTTCAAGAATAAGGGGTCATATCTGAATGCTCCATTAAGTTAACTCCAGCGCCATCTAAAATCTATCTATTTCGAAGATGAACCACATGGGGCTATAAATTTTATTATACCTTGAACAGTTTATAATAAGTTTACCAAGAAGTTTGAATCACCCAGGAGGAAATGTCAAAGACCCTATAAAGGCCAGACGGACAAGCTGGGTTAATGTAGCCATCTCCGTTTATTCGGGTCTATTTGTAGTAACAAGTCCTTCAGTTTTTGAAATATCGATCTGAAGTATTGCAAACGGCCTTTTCTACCCAAGAAGCCGCGCATTTGTCGGAATCGCCGTTATAGGACCACTATAGGATATAGCTGCCATACAAACTGATCGATCAAAATCAAGTCTTTGCATGGAAAACTTTTTTATTTGATAAGATATCCTCACGAAATTTGGAATAGATTATTTTTCGAAGCTAATCTTCAAACATATTGTTTAGATCGGATCATTATAGCATATAGCTGCCTTTAAAACTGAGCAATCAAAACTAATATTAAGATCTTTTTAAACCCTTTTATGCTCTAAGAAATGCATCTGTGAAGGGTATTATAGTTTCGGTGCAAACTAAGTCAACGCTTTTACTTGTTTTTAGTAATCAATTGAGTCTAGTCACATCTAGCGGAGGTTTTTGTCTAAATCCAACCATTTCTTAATAAAAATTATCGACAAATAACTTTGAAGTCTAATATATTCTTTTAAATGCCATCTAGCCGAACCCGATCGAACTTATACGACGCGAGATACAGATAAATAACGGCATCTATTGGAAAAATAATGGATTTATTTTTACTACACCTAATATAATCTAATTTTTGAGCGATCTGGTTGCTTAAAAAACAGTAAATCAAATATCGGTTTAATTACTAAATAACACTGCATTCCACCATATTATTAGCTAACCGAGTTTAGACAAAAATAAAATTTAAAAGCGTACTGAGTTTGATATAATTGCTACAAATTTTTCTGTTTCCAATTTCGCATTCTAGCCAATAATTGCCCATATTTTTCTTATGTCATAATAGATTACTTAAAGTGTTTCATTTAAATACCTCGTTTTACAGCAATTAAAAAAAGCAAGGAAAAATTTACAACTTACGCTATTGTAGAATTCGAAAAATTTACCTTTAATGAAATACAAACGCAAAGTTCAGCTGTCACCGGTTTATTACTAACACTGACAATAAAAATTTACATTGGAAATTACTCCAGCAATTTGCAAAGAAAATAAGAAAAACAAGCAACTAAAACACAATTATACACACTTTGCGTAACATAAAAGCAAAAGCAAAAGCAGAAGTAAAAAAAATAATAATAATAAATAGAAAAAAAAATAAAGCAAAAAATAAATAAATAATATAAAACAGAAGAAAAAATAAAACAAATTCAACGCACAAAGCTTTGCAGAGGTTTTAAGTTACTAACGCTGAAATCTTTAAGCTTGGGCTTAAGCGTTGGCGTTGCCGCCGGCGTCGGCGTCGGCGTCGATGGCCACGCAAAATAGACAAAAAGCAATTTAAGTGATTTATGTCAACGCCAGATAATAGATGATGCAAACATATGGATGCATACATATAAACATAAATAAATATAGATGTTTGTATGTAAACATAAGTAAATAAGCAAGAGTGTACATATGTATGTATTTATGTTTGAGAGTCAAAGAAATTGTGGGTGTGTTGGGGCATCACCTTAATCTTATTTATCAATTATTCGCGTCTATTTGTTTTGTTAATCGCTTCTACACATGCACATACGATGAAGAAGAGCTGTGTCGGTATAAATACATATGTTTCGAGATACATATATGTACATATGTATGGGCTTATATGTATGATTTTATGTATGTAAACATATATGAAATAGAACAGCGCGCTATAATCAGTTGTTGCCGGTAACAATGCCGTGCAACAATAGTAATAACAACAATAAGTAAACAAGTATTACTAGAAAAGCAACAACAAACATAACAACTATAGCAATAAAGCCATCTCGAAATTATGTGAAAAGAGAAGATGCGAGCGACAATGAAAACACAACAAAGGCGGATCGGATCGACTCGCTGAAGATACTTGTATATTGTTGTTGTTTCTTATATTTAATTTCGTAACACATACACACCTAGGCAACTACAAGTAGTAAGCACCTTCCTATTTCTATATTTAAATTTCATGCAAACTTGGATTATCATAAGCTTATTAGTCGCTATTTACTTATGTATATATGCCTTTCACCAACGTCATAATCAATCCAAAGTATATACCATCTAATCAAATTAGAACCGTACTGACAAAATAACAACATTTTTACGTATTTTAATACAAATCTTTGTTATCGCCGGTACGGTTTGCGCGCGCTGTTAAAAAATGTTCGAGTCAAATTTTATCGGATGATATACAAACATATATGTAGGTACATAGGTCTTGCCGGCGAGTATTTATAGATGTGTCTGTCTTAAAATAACTTATTAATTAATAATTTGTTGCTTTGCTATATATAAAAAAGTATAAATGTTTATATTATCAAATATAAATAAATATATACATATTGTATATGTATATCTAAACAAATATCTAAATTCAAATATGTGTCTGTGTGTCAGTGTTCAGACTTTCTAGTTCGTGTCACTGCTGCAGCAGGTGCAAAAGTGCTACAAGCATTGGTTGACGCTTTTAAGTAATTGCAACTTTATGTAACTCAGAGGTGAATCACTTAGTTCGCTAGTCAAATGAGCAAAAGTTATTGACCTTTAAGCAATGACCGACAGTTTCAGTAAGTTTTCAGATGTGATGAGCAGGTGCATGTGTACCTACATTAAAAAGGGTCAATAGTTAAGCATATAATTTTTAACTTCTTATTAGTTCATTTAAAATTTCATCCTGTTTACTAATAAGCACGATATGGTTCTGAGTAACGGCTCCGACAAGTAGCAAAAATATGAAAAACTGTACCTTCAGTGGCACCGAAGCTATAATATTATTCACAGATAAAACTTATTCCATACAAGAATTTGATTTTGATCGGTCAGTTTGTATGCAACTATATTCTCCGATCTAAAAAAACTTGGACCGAGATTATACCATTGCCTTGGATAATAATCCATTTTAAATTTCGTGAAGATATCTTGTCAAATAAACAAGTTTTCCATACAAAGACTTGACTTGGATCGTTGAGTTTGTATGACAGCTATATGTTATAGAAATCCGATTGGGAATTATAGCGCTACCTGCGTGAAGATTTATTATCTATCAAACACAAATAAAGAATTTTCCATACAAGAACTTGTTGTTGGAGCAAAGAGGGTATGTGCAAAATTTCAGATCGATATCTTAAAAACTTGTCATGCGTATAGACAGACGGACATGGTAAAATCGACTCAGCTCAACACACTGATCATTTATATATACATTTATCAGATCTCTGACGTTTCCTTCCGGGTGTTACAAATTTTGTTGGAAACTTTATATACCCTGTTCAGGGTAAACATATTTTTCGATAGGTAGCGTTCACTACTCGAGAAGCAATATTAAATTTGCTAGTGTTTTTGCCATCAGAGAGGTTCTTATTAAACTCCGCTTTGAGGGGTATCTAACCAAATATTTTGTAATGGAACCGGAATTCTACTTATAGAGTAGTCGCTAGTTGGCGCTATCCTATAAGGTTTCCTAAAAGCCGACCAATTAATGTTCACAGATGTTGGGTTTACTCCAGTATTACTTAGCTGGAAACAAATACTTAGATCTGAAACTGACGCTGTAAATAAAATTTTAGTTGGGGTAGTAATGGAAAAGCTACCCCGATTTCGTTTCTTTCCATCCATTTCCATTCGAAAATTAAGTCAGTACCATTACTGTACAAAGCATCTAGGTTTGATGAAAGTCGAAAAATTGTAGCTTTTTTTATAGCACTTAGTCAAAACTTGGAGGGGCAAATATCGTACCAGTCAAAAATAGACAGATCAGTTTTTTGCTGTACAACTACAACATATTGTATCTCATCTTTGAGCTGTAAGTCAATAATTTTCCGATTGCAATAGGACTGTAGAAGGAATATTTCAGATACATAGAGAGATAGATCATTATCAGTATTTTTAAAATTGATCATATAAGACTTTATATTAACAAAAACATCATTTCGTTCCAGCTAACCCCTATCAAAATGGGTCACAGTGCGGCCGACACAACCACCGCCAATCCGGCGGCTACGAGTATGGCCATTGCCACTATAACGCCTATCACAGCGAAACGCGTAGAAGCCAGTGAAAAGCCGCCGCAGAAACCGAATCTAACTTGGCGTGAGAAACTACAAAAGGTCATCAATAATATCACCGTAGAGCCGATCCTAGCCGCATACATTATGCCCAGTGTGCTCTCAGGTTTGGCGACGCAAAATTTGAATTTGGAAAAGGCGTGCCGCGTAAACATGGACTATGGCGAGGTGGTTTGTGATGCGCTCACACGAAGAGATACGGCCAATTATACGCTGTAAGTAAAATCATTGTAATAATAATTTGCTGTACATGCTTTTCAACTAATTTATTAACATACTTGCAGCGAGGAGGAGACCGTGCAACAGATGGTCGCACGCATGGCCGCCTGGAAAACTGTGATACAATCGATATTTCCCTGTCTGCTCATTCTGTTTTGGGGCTCGTGGAGCGATCGGCATCATCGGCGAAAACCTTGTATTCTCATACCAATTATTGGCGAATTTCTTGGCACTGTAGGTCTCATACTTTGTGTTTATTTCGAACGTACGCCGATGGAGGTGGCTGCTTTGACGGAAGCCATATTTCCATCGCTGAGTGGCGGTTGGTTTACAATGCTAATGGGTGTCTTTAGTTATATAGCAGATATTACTACGGAAGAGGAGCGTACGCTACGTATTGGCATATTGAATGTATGCTTCTCGGTGGGCGTACCAATCGGTATGGCGTTCAGTGGAGTGTTGCTGAAGTGAGTAAATATTCTAATAAAGGACTTTATAAGATCTGATTCTAAAACTCAATGGACAACATGCGTCCAATACTTTTAAAGTCCTGACATAGAGTGAAAGCTCATGCAAAATTAATCTAAAAAATCGATTCAACTATCTTATCTAGAAACTTATTATTTTACGACTTGACTATTTAATGAAAACTTTGATTTCCAGACAAATTGGTTTCTATGGTGTTTTCTCTATCTCAGCAAGTCTCTATTTGTTCTCGTTCCTATATGGTTTATTCTTCTTGGCTGAACCACGTGCCAAACCAGAGAAGAGCGTGCCGAAGGGAGAGCGAAAGAGTTTATTAGCCGATTTCTTCGATAAGGATCATGTGGTTGAGACCTTCCGGGTGGCTTTTAAGCGAGGCGAAAACCAGCGTCGTCAGCGTGTTATTATGTTAATGGTTGTTGTGATGGTAGTGATTGGACCAATGCATGGTGAGACAATTTTTCATGCTTAAAGGCGTAAAGTGGTTATTAATGCTTCTCTGTTACTACTAAACAGGTGAAATGGCTGTGACATATCTTTTTACACGTTTCCGTTTCAACTGGAGTGAGGTGGAGTTCAGCGTATTTTCTACCTATGCGATGATTACGGGACTAATTGGTACGTATTTTGAGGTTATATTTAAGTTTGTTATTCAAATTTTTCATACTTTTACTTTCGTTTAGGCGTACTTTTCTGTGTCGGCATTCTTTCGCACAAATTGAAGATCGATGATGCGTTGGTCGGCGTCATTTCGAGTATGTCAAAAATTCTATCGGGTTTCGTCTATGCTTTTGCTACCGTGCCCTGGCATATGTATGTTGGTGCGATTGTGGAGATATTTAACGGTACTGCCTTCATAGCTATGCGTTCGATTGCCACCAAGCTGGTGTGCAAAGACGAATTGGGCAAAGTGAACTCGTTGTTCGGCGTTGCCGAAGCGCTGATGCCTATGGTTTTCGCACCCATGTACACCACTTTGTATGCGGCCACATTGAAAGTATTACCCGGCGCTTTCTATTTGTTAGGTGGCGCGCTTACCGCACCCGCAGTGTTTATTTTCCTGTAAGTCTCGAATTAGCTAACTAAACTGTATAAGTAATATTTATGAATGTCAAATCTACCCACAGCTGGATGTACAACTTCCAATGCAAACAACGGCGCAAAGCGATTGCACAAACTGTCGATAGTGAAACTGGCGTCACCAAAGCAGATTGTCTGGACGCCAAAGACGCGAATGGTAATATTAATGCGATTGAAGCGATAGCGTTGGCGAGCGAGGCGAAGGGCCAACTAAACGGCATCGTAACGAATGTGATACATGAAAATCTCGAACAGGCCGAGCATGCGGCCGAATGTGTGCAACGGGATACTGAAGCGCGTGCAGCGGTTGTGGCGCAGGCGCAAACGATAGCAAACGGCATGGAGAATAGGGCGTTCGAAGGCGATGAAGTTGAGTTGCGCCAGCGCCAACAAACGAGAGTGTAACCAATAGGTTTGAGCTGGTCTGCATATGAGAGTATTTTTTGCAATAAATGTTGTATGGCGTAGCAGGAGTAGAAAGTTATGGGGTATACCCAGTATACACTGGTAATGTGTGATGTATTATTATTATTTTTTTTTTGAAACGTGTAAAGTTATAATTATGTAATTTTAAATAAGTATACATATAATAATATTTTTTGTTAGATTTTAAGTAATTTAAGTTGAACACTGTGTATTCTAATATTAAAATAAAAAACACTAAGTAGTTTTTGTTTATAAAAATCATAGTGGTTTTAATGTAGGGCAGATCTTTCCGCCTTAAACCGTCAATTGTTAGTAATCAGTAAATCTTTTCTCCTCGAAAATGGTAGTTTATATACTAGGTTGTTAGAAAGTTTCTTATTTGAATAAATTAATGTTGGATGTGATTGAGCCTGGCTGGGGTGTGGAGCTTAATAATCCAACTTGCTAATACTAACGATCGTATCGTTTAAACAATCGTTTATGAAACCTTTGTTGAAACTACCGGAAGTGGCATTCTTAAGAGATTTTAAGAGACAAAATGAGATACCTAGATAAACTTCACACCTATCCTGACCTGGCCTATCCTGTGTACTTGTAATCTTTTTTAATCACAGTCGTCGAATATAAACTTAAGGAGTACACCAAGTGAAGTTTTGAAAAATATATTTATTTATTTTTTATATATTAAATTTTTAAATTAATGTTTCAAATATTTTTTGAGTTACTAAATCTTTTTACAGTGTAGCCGCTCAGTTCAATCAGCTCTACCAGCTTATACAATATTTAACGCGTTTTTCGAAACAAAATTTTTTGAATTTTTTGAAGACAAAAACGACCAAGGCTTTGGGTAAAATTCAACTTTTTTTCGGACAAAATTTCTTAGTCGAGTATTCAGGTTTTCGATTTCATGAACGGCGGAGGCCAGAATCACTGCAGCAGTGGAGGACCTTTGTTTAAAAAATGTTTACTAAGCGTTTTAAATATTATATGTATATGTACTTGTATGTGTATATATAGCCTACAAATTTTCAAACAATTGATACAGTATATTTTTTTTAATTCTCAAAAATTAGTTGTTTTAGGTTCTCACACGAAGTGTACCTTAAAATATCGACATTAAACTAAGTTTAAATATTGTATTCATAAAACGATTTTAAAAGGTATAGCCATCACTAACAGCATTCACTGAAGGTCGTGAAGTCATCGAAAACTTGCCTGAAGCGAGTTGTTCACCCACCTCTGTTAATGTCGATAAAATCGAAAAAGTTAAAGAAACAGTGCTTAAAAATCGTCGTGTTGGCATTAAAGAAATATCAGAGAACCTCAACATCTCTTATGGATTGATTCAACACATTTTGGTTGATAAATTGGATATTATGAAGGGTGACAATGCCAAAACACCTGAGTCTTTTGCAAACGACGTTGAGTAGAAGTCGCAAAAGAGGACCTAACATTCATAAAACGCATCATTAGTGGTGACGAGACGTCCAATAATCTAGCGAATGGCACTCCAAAAATGAGCCAAAACTGAAAAACCAAAATTCGATGAAGACACTGAGGGCCGAGCCTTATACTTGTAACAAGTGTTTGGGTAATTCAATAAAGAGTTAGCATACTTGTATTGGCTCAAGGATTTGTATTAAAATACGTGAAAATCTCAACACCTTATAATATAAAACTTTTGTCGCTGACATCTCTAATGCGCTGCTGTAGCTACAGGCAACATGCTCCTTACATTATAAATTGTATTAGCCCGAGTTAAATACATCACTGATGCATACTGCATTATGGCAGCCATAAAGCTTAAAGCTGGCTTTCTTTTCAATTAAAAAAGGGTTTTTCTTTTCATTCAAAAAGGTTCATTATAAAGGTAACAAATCACGTGGAATGTCTTAAGTTAATTTCAATTAATAATTAATTTATTTTTAACATTAAAGATCCAAAATAATTTCTAAAAGCATGCCAATTCGTAAGAGTTTAACTAAAAAACTTCACGATGAAATTCACAACTTTTGATGACTATATGGTTAAGAGATAATAACTTCATTTTACGAGTCTTAACAACACTTACAACATAACCATAATTTTTCTGCCAACCACGCTTGCTAATTGCTTAATTTCGAGTCAAAGCATGCATAAGCAATAAGATTAAAATCACATTTGTTGCACAAAATCACAAAATTCGCCATCAACTGGCGCAAACTGGCGTATAAATGGCATTTCACTTGCAATGCCGCCCACAGCACACCGCGCGCAAACACGCCACACCAGCACATAACCGCATCGCATATTACTATCATCGACTTAATGAAAATTGCTCAATTGTTGCATGGCCAAATGTATGAAAACCGTCTGTTTGTATGGTGCGCATGTGTGTTTGGCAGCGGTCTTATCTATCGGGGGTATGAACGTTCGCCTCAGCCCCTATTAAATGTTCGGCGATTCTTCGACGTTGCTGTGTCGCAGCTACTGCTCTTCTCTAGTATTTACTTTACGTGTTATTTTTCTTGTTGTTGCTGTCTTGACGTTGCACATGTCGGTGGCGGCGACGGTGGAGGCTTGCGCGAATGTATGGCAATCTCTCGTTGTAATTTTCTCCAAATCTGCTACGGCTGCCACCAGCCGAGGGCATATACACGGTAGGCTCTCATAGTACTACCCACACATTGTGGCCACAGTCGAAATATGCATCGATGGCAAGCGATTGCAATGAAATCTCTAACTAACGTGAGCCGCCACCAAGCAGCCTTTGGACAGAGCGTAACGCTTGAGGGAGGGGATGCAGTGGGACAGCACAGCATTGCGTCGCGCTAAAGGATATACGGGTGCACAGGTTGAGTGGGCATGTTAGGCGCGTAACCTGTATTTAACTCGTCGATTGAGTTGCTCATGTAGCCGATAATTGGCGTTCATGGCAGGCGGTCGAACATGCGCTGGCAAATGTTGTTGTTCGTGCTGATGTTGCTGCTGGTGTTATTGGCGGTATTTTGGCTGCACTTGATTACCAGTTATCGTGGCAGGCGTACACGGACCGACAAAGAGGCAGGCCCATACAAACCTACATATAAGTATAGTATTTGAGCGCCCATGAGTAACAAAAACAAGCAGCATTTATATTTTTATAGCTGACTTTACGTCCACAGTTTCGTCTGTGCAGCTGTTGCTCCCCAACGTGCGTAGCTGAAGTAGTGGAAGAGAGCTTTTTGTAGCGTTTGAAATTTTTTTTGTTGTCGATTAAAAACGTAAACTGCGTTACGCCTGCAACAACGAAACAACAAAAGCAAAGGCGGCACGAGGCACAGGTCCAATGCAACAACAATAATAACAACCACTAAAGTAATAAAACGCGGCATCGAAAACGTGTGCCGATACTTTAATTAGTTTTCCTTTTGATATTTGCTTGTTTGTTGCAACGCATCGAGCTTACGGACTGCACGTTACGCCGGCCGCTTGACTGCCTGGCGTCAGTGTCGCACAAATATTGACTGACGTGCAGTGAGGCTGAAGGAGGCAGCTTTTGCCCGCTGGCGGAGAATTTTAATTGAGATTTCATACTAAAGGTCGAAAATGCATCATTAAGCTTGTCGTAAATTAATTTTGGTTGTAATTTCTTTGAAAAGATTTTCGGTAAGTGATAAAATAGCGGTTATGAGGTGGAGCTGGAAATTGGCTAAAACATGTTGTGGAGCTGCCGTCAATATGGTGCATGATATTACATGTGGAATGTAAATAAGTAAGGAAAGTATAAAGAAGATGAAAGCATTAAAATATTCGATAAAGAAAATAAGTTATTGGCATAATTTGGCATTTTTGCTGGTGAATGATGAGGGAACTTTAATTGGTTGCTTGTGAAAGTGTTCACAATGAACTTGGCCCTATTAGAGCAGGTATTGCGAGTTCAACGACTTATAATACAAGTTCAATATTTTATATATGTATAAAAATATAAACATTTAAATCAAGAGAAATTGTTTTTCCGTCAATTAAAATATTTTTTTTTTGTAAAAAATATTATTTTTTAATTTTAATAATTAATTTAATAAGGAGATAATATATCTTTTTTTATTTTTTGTATTGTATATAAAAATTACTTCCAAGTAATAAATTTTCATTTATACTCCTTTTATTTCTGCTTTTGATATATGTGTAATATTTTAATTACTCTAAAAACACTCTTTTGTGATACTTCTGGAACAAAAATTTTTGATCTAACATTAAAAATAAATTGAAATACACTGCACTACACTTTTTTCACTTCTTGGACTTAATATAAATCAATTACTAACTTTTTTCTCACTCACTCATTCACTTTTTTCTACTCAAATAATTATATACAATAATAATTTATTTATTTTATATTGATTAAAAATTTTAATAAATAATAATTTTTTTCTATTTTGTTATTTTTTTTTTGATAAATAAAACTTTTTATTAATAATTAGTTTTTATATAAATATAATCCAATTTCTTTAGAATCTTTTTTATTAATGAACAATTTTTCGCCCAAAAGTTTTTGCATTATGCGGTTATACAAGTATACACTAGTGAATTAAAAAAAAAACGATTTTTTGATTTTGAAAACTTGAAATTAACCCGAAAAATTGTTCCGGTGATATGAACGTATTTGTAAGAATTTTTTGATTTAGTGTAATTGGCTCCATCTTAACCATCTTAAATATATTTGTCAGGTAATCAATGAAGGAATAATATTTTTGATTTTTTAAGCCACTCTGAAGTGTAATTTATTTCACAAGAATCAATTTATCACAAATCAAAAATTTGACCAGTTCCTCGACCATGACCTGAATTCAGCTAGAATAATAATAAATTTATTTGGATATCAGATGTTTTAAGCAGAAGAATTAAGAAGAAATCGTCAGATAACTTTTTTCGGAAGGCCTCGTGGAGTTCGGCTACGCAAACAAGGAAATCAAAAATTTTTAAAAATAAATCACCAATTATTAAAATACATGAAATTCAGGAAATTTTAATTTCTTATTTATTAATTGAAAAAAAGCTTATTTACAAAAAATTCACCAAAAATCGATTTTTTTCTCATTTGCTAGGGGATATTAACCCCTTTACGTTATTAAATTTGCTAGTTTAATCAATTTTTTTCAAGTTAACATGTTTTTGTATGCGTGTTTTTATACAGAGATGACTAGTCAATAATTTGCAACGAAGAAACTATTTTTCGAATTTTTTTAATAAAAAGTGAAATATTCACTCTATGTTAAAGCCTCTTTTTTATATATAAT